TAACATGAATTTATTTGTTATCACAGTAGAATTTGGAAGAATTAAGCAAAAAAGATTACGCGAAAATGATTTTCCAAGGGCATCGTTGCACTTTGCAAGGATAAAATTGAACAGGCGTTCATAAATACATTTACAGAGTGCGGCCAACGAGCTGAGCGTCTGAAATATGATATAGCGAGATTATCTAAAGCATCACAAGTTGTCATATTATAAGTGGATTCACTCGGCATAGCCGATTTAAAATTTGTTTTCATATGATAATAAAGTAAACTGATTTCTGACAGGTTGACATTTTCGTGGAGAAGTGCGACTGTGGCAGTGGTTATTAGTGCAGTTTTCCAGTCGTATCTGTCATGATCAGTTCAAAGCCATTTAACATGGTGATTTCAAAAGTATTTTTAGTATGGAGGTGAGTTAATGCATAAAGAAATGGTGAGAATAACACTAATATATGAATGGCTTAGTCACCTTTCGCAGATTTTGACTCTTCTTTATAACGGTATCTCCGACTTTCATCGATGGTGCTGTCAATGCGTCAATGAAACGGCTTGTTTTCACACCCAAGCTACGGCATGCGGCCTCCACTTCTGAAATTCAACACAAACGACACTCTTTGATGAAGAGGACAAATATGAATTAACTCAAAAGTCCGAGAGCTCATTTCAAATTCATTTCCATCGTTATTTGTTTCATCAACTGATGAAGATGACTGTAAACGCTAGGAAACCTTTTTTTCCGTCTACGTATGTGATATCAAGACCAGATCGCTCATGGAATTTTATTTCTCCAAGCAGCACACACGACGCGACAGTTTCGTAAATTTGCAACTTCTCCTCCTCGCTGAAACCCACCACATCCAAAGCGTGCTGTAAAATATAAATTTTCATTGATAACACAAAATATCTAATCTCTGAATGTTTAAAAACCAACAGAGGCCTTTTGTATGTTTAGGCCTCGCTTAATTGGGCCTCTTTGCAGTATATTCATCTTGTATATCAATGAAGCAGATCATAACATGCGGTTATCAGAAAAACATATGCATTCATATGTGGAAAGCACAACTTTTCTTGGGTGAACGTAATCCCTCAATAGGAATCCACGTGATCTCGAATAATCCATCTATTCGGTAAATGCGAATAGGAACAATCATTGAAAGCAATAAACTTTTTGATGAGATCAAAGGCTTAAGGTAGCAACTCAAAATACCTCAGTTCCATAAGCGCATTTCTCATCGTTAATATCGCGATCAGCAGTTTTACCGCCTTGATTCAAGAAACGATACGCATCAGCGCTTTGTCCAAGACCCATACCGTAGCGTACGCCTTCACTGAAGCCCTCAGAGAAGAGCTGATAGAAGATATGGAAATTACGATCACCTTCATTTTGACTGACAACGCGCGATTTTTCGAGTAGATCTGAAAGTGTTGATGATGTTCGTTGAGCATGCATCACAGTAATCAAAGTCTCTTTTGAACTCTGCAATACAGAAGTCTATAAAACACATTTTTTGACACGATATCATCTGTAGTATCGAATACTAAGATTGAATAAGGTGTTATGCACTTTGTTTTTGATTACATTCTCTCAGCTGCTCATGGTTTATATAGAGATATTGCGATATCTCTTTAGATTCACCTCTTTAGATTCAGAAGAATCTCTTCAGATTCAGTTTTTTTGTTTCAGCTAATTAATGAATCAAGAGAATAGAACCTACAACATTGTATTTGTGCACCCTTCAGTTGCATGTCTTCACCAAAATCAATACGAATGAATTTACCCTGGAAACGATCAAAATTTCTCTGCTTGACAAAATGACATGAGTACATTGATCAAACATCATTAGAATTATTTTCGAAAAGTATTGCATATTGCTGATTATAAATGCCAGGAAACTCTTTCAGTTCTGCGCTTCACTTGATGACCGTTAGTGGCTTAATTCATCCAAAAAACAGTTTATTGAGCAGATGCTTTATAATGGTCATATTAAGATTCATTCATGGACAAAAGCAAAACGATAAATCTGGCCTGAGATTTAGAAAAACTTTTCGTCGTAATATTGTGAATGTTGTTTATGAGCATTCATCAAAATCAGAAGAAGAATTTCTGATCGTTTTCTACAAAACGCACGTACCACTCTTGAGCTATTACTGTTATGGATAGTCGAAGCATTAGCGAACGATTCGATGATAAAATTGGCAGCCGCCAATCGCTTGTCCGCACCATTACCATTTCGCTCGACTCCACTCCTTCGACGTGCTTCGAATCCCAAATATTCGATAATCTTTTTCGTGTTTTCCGTCTTTCCAGCTCCACTCTCTCCTCTGAAATGGGCCGCCACTCACTCAACAATTGCTTTTCAAACATGAAACGCACTTGATCGCATGGCTGCGCTAAACATTTCTGAATCGCTGATTGCTGCTCTTAATGGAAGTGTTCTCGGACTACAATGACAATATGGACAAACCAAATTGCTATTATTAAAACGAGATGCCATATCTAATTATGCACACATCGTTGTATCATTTATAGTCTTAAGGAATGGTCGGTCCCTTAAATGTTTGTTTTTAGTACTGATGTACAAAAAAGAACGATATATGCAGCAAAAATATTTCATAATGAACGAACGTGATGAGTATGGATTGATTCGGTCCATTAAACAGCCCATCGTATGCCGACTGTGCTACGGCGTAGATATGCGGTGGTAGGTTAGAGCTTCTATCTAGCGCATTTGCGTATTCGTGCATAATATCCTCTGAGTAGATTGCCAGATTTCGCCATGGATTCACGACAACACAGAATAATCCCGAGTAAGTCTGTAAATCCAGCAATCACTACAATAGACCAATGCGTTTCTCAAATATCCAATTGTAGACATCTATTTTTTGAAACTTGATTAGGATACCTTGGATTTATTCTGTTATCTTAAGCATGCATAAGCGCTAAACATTTCTGTGAATTTTCTGCTTTCAATTGCTGTCACTAATGCAAGTATATTTTAAAGTATGTTTCGACATCCTCTTCTGATGATGCGAATCTTAATAACCTCATTTTTGAGAGCTGCCACTTACGAGAAAATTGTATGAATAAGTTTTGATGAGATTAGAAACTGAACTGCTCAGTGCTAATCAGCTGCTATAAACGATCAATCATACACATGCCAATCGAGCGTTTTGATTGTTGAATGATTTCATATGATAATGATTAATTACGGCTGAGCAATAGACTTACGTGAATGAGTTGACTTTCATATCGACAACGTATAGCGTGTAATACATTTGCATCAGTTAGCTCACTAAGATTACATAAATCCTCTACATAATAGGATAAACTTGGCGATTGTGTATCAGCTGCGAGGACGGTCCTCTGAAAATCTACTGAATGGTCATGATTGATCAATAAAATGATCAGTGCATCAGCACATGGAATTGTTACAGTCAGCCGTTCTTGTTTGGACGGAAATCCATTAATGAGTGTGGAACTGTCGTAAAATTCTCATAGAATGCACCTTCTCGTAGAATCCGTTCTCGTCTCTGAAACCGACGACGAGTTTATCGCCTCGTTGTTCGACAACCTTCGCGAGTCTATAGGCAGTGTCCGGATCGTTGATCCAGACAATCGATTCGAGTTCTTCTCGTGCCGTTCGTTGTGAACTCGGCACTTCGAGGCACCTTAATTCAAAATTAACTCCTTCATTCGTTTCATCGCACATTTCTCTTTCCTGTGTCCATGATCTCATCATAGGCAATTTTACCAGAACAAATATTCCAGGCATTTACACATTGACCAGCAACCACCCTGGATGATTTAGCTTGCAACAGAAAGAAAAATTTTCAACTATGCGACATAAGTTGCGATTCACATCAAATTCGCTGAAAATATTTTGTAAGTACATTACATTCATACTTTCGTACAGCCTTACTTTATCACAGCTCTTTGTGTGCATTAATAGGTAGACGATTCTTCATGAGTGTTATTAATTATATGAAAATCAATTATTCATTAACGATACTATTCCATTGCTATGGAATAAGTAAAAAGTTGTGCGCTGTGTGATATTTTGATGATAGACATGTGCAGAGGTCGATCGCTGATTGATGTTTTTGTGATTTTGCAAGTCGCCATTCATCTCATCGATCCATCTCCTGAGGCATTTTGAAAACCCAATGAAGGCAAATTTATCGGAAATGTGTAGGTGTGTTTCATACGAGGGTAGGATCAGAGGAATGAGTCGTAAAGACAGGAACGTTTCAAGATCTGCGTTTATTGCGGTCTAATTGAATGTTGTCAAGCAAAACGAACAATGCCATTCCCCACATCGTAAACGCATTGTAACCATAAATCACACATATTTGTCCAACTGACATCGCTCGTAATGTTTCTTTTGATTCTTTGTTTCAGTTGTGAACGGAAGGAATACTAACGATTTTAGATGCAATAACACAATGCTCATTATTATCAACTGTTTATTTGAAAAAGAAAAAGCATGCACCTCGTAAATGAGGAAAGTTTTTATCACTTTCTGGATTGATAGAATAGGAGTAGGAGAGATCACTTTTTGGATGAATAGAATAGGAGAGATCTAATCGTAAGAGTATGAAAAAATTTCAGAATTTTCTCTGGAATGAATTTTTGAAATTGCACGAAGCTTGTTACTTTGTTATGAATACATGAAATATTTTGGCTCTTTTTTTACTAAAAAAATAGACAGACTTTATGTTCCAGTTTTTTTCGATCTCTACACAATAACAACACGCCTTTCGACCAAACGTTTGTGCACTCTTTGTTCACTTTGGTGGTTTTTTATTCGGCAAAAATTTTGAAATTTAAGCTTGAAACGAATTTCTAGGAACGTGCATATCACGCTTGTAATTTTTATGACTTTGAGTGTTATTGACTGGCTTCGATCAACATTCTCCCGACGTCGTGGAAAAAAAACAGAAGATTCGACGTAACTGACAAGTGGATGTGGTCGTTACAAATTATTTGCTTCAAAAAAACCTTTGAGCTACATTTTTAGCATTTTTTGCCTGAAACTCAAAAAGATTCATGTATTTATTTCAGCTGAACAGCAACTGCATAACATAAGCTATTTGGCCAAATCACTTAATCCATTATTAGAGTGACTGTTATTTATCAACTGTCGCCATATCTAATAAATCCTCTTCAATTATCGCCTGCTATTACAACGGTTTGATAAAGACAATAACTCTCTTAGGCTTTAAATTTGAGAAGACAATAATTTATCCTACATTTCTTCAACACAAAAAGTGCTCACCGATAGTAATAGAATTGCACCGGTGGAAATGATATAATTGCCGATTTTGGCTGTGAAATAACGGAGCATCTCTATCTATCAATGCGATTCTGGCTTACTTATGGAGTATGCTAAACCGGAAA